CTCTCTCTCTCTCTCTCTCTCTCCTCTCTCTCTCTCTCTCTCCCCCTTTTCTGATGAGAATAATTTGTGAGTTGATAGCCAAGCCGGGGAATACCTCCTGGCTGCGATGAAGCCTAGGATTCCCAGAGTCCCTGGAGTATCTGATTAACTCGCTTTCCCAAGTAGAGAAATCACAACAACAAAACCACAATAAGTTAGCAGCTCACTTTTATCGCGCACTTACCAGGTCCCAGGCATTATTCTAGGGGCTTTACTCGGAGTGTCTCGTTTAATCCTCACAGCAACCCCATGAGCTTGGTACTATAATTGCAGTGAGGAAACCAAGACTCTGAGGGGTGAAGTGAGTTTCTGGTGGTCACCAAGCTGGGGAGCAGAGGAGTGGGATTTGGGTGCAGCCCTCTGGCTCAGAACGGGTGCTCTTCCCCAGGAACTGGAGCGGCAGGTGCCACTCCCTATTCCAGACTGACTCAGTGAGCCAGGCCACTCCAACTCCCTTGGCTAGTAGAAGGCAGACACCCATACATCCTGAGAAAGCCCACTGTCTCTGCTATCACTGCAGAAACATGACCTCCAGTCCCTTTGTTCAAGGGACCTGGGAGGCAATGAAACGGGCCAGCAGTGTTGGGTGTGCACAGGGAGCAGTGGGGATGGGGACAAGGGGGACCACACATGCTCTGCCACCCAGGACGCTCCATCTGATTGCTTGTTTGACGTGGGACTGTGGGCCCGGTGAGGTCAGATCTTCTGATTTTTTGAATCTGAGAGATTTTCTGATTTTTAAATGTACGAGGCCAAACCGATAGGTCTGATTCAGGTCCTGGGTCACCAGATGAGGAATGCTGCCTTTATCATTGTTGGCGGTTCCCAGCTCTGTCCTTGCCCTGGAGTTGCTGGTTTACACGTTAGTATCTCTCACAGAGTGTGAGGGGATTCCTTCTGAGGTCTCCCTGTCTTCTCAGCACCTTGCTCAGGGCCCGGCGCATGGTAGCTGCTGTTGTTAATGGCTGTTAATGGACTGAGACTGTGTTGCCTGTTTCTGCAGAGGCATGCCTCTGCGGGGGGGTGGAAGTGCCTCACGGTCCCCCATCTCTGTTCCACAGAATCAGGGAGCCCCAGTAAAGGGAAGTCTTACACGGGCCTGGGGAAGAAGTGTCGGCTGATGAAGACGGTGCAGACCGTGAAGGGCCATGGGAGCTACCAGAATTGCCCGGTCATGAGGCCACATGCCCCACACTCAAGCTATGGCACCTACGTCACCCTGGCCCCCAAGGTCCTGGTGTTCCCCATCTTTGTTCAGGTGAGCTGATGACCGACCCCAAGGGCTCCCTCTGGAGGAGGTGAGAAAGAATAGGGTCCTTCACCCCGGGACTCAGAGATGGTACCTCGTTCCAGGTCTGAGGACCCCCTTTTGGGAAAGACAAATAGCTTTAGGGGCTCAGGATTCCGGGGGTTATACTGAGGGAGCAGAGGTTTCCAGAAGGAGGAACAGGAGAGTGGGGGCAGGGAAGCTCGGCGACAAGCGGGTCCCCCTCCCCCGCCAATCCCCACACCCCTCCCCCGAAGAAGTGTCGGCTGATGAAGAC